CAATCCGTTGATGAAAATTCGCACGCTTTTGAACGACCCGGCAAAGCGGTGATGGATGAAGCAGACTGGGTATTTGAGGTAGCAATTGGCCTTACCGTGGAGGTGCTCGTAGGGCTGGTCGTCACTGGGTGTATCTGGAGGACGAGCATCAGACACTGGTTGGAGAAACGTGGCTGGATGAGAAAACGAGTCCTGGATGGAAGTGATGCTGTTTGAGGGAAAATCGTTTTCATTAGTGTTCGCTTGGATGTCGTTTGTTGGTTCTGCACAATTAATACTCCTAGGTAATGATTTACTCGCTGCGCAATTGGCTTATGCTTATGCCTCACGGAGTGAAACGGAATGATTTGAGGCATCTGTCCATCAGTCTTTCGGGCGCGCGGCTTGCTTGATAGGCTCCTCGGATACACGACTTTGATACACATATTCGTGACGGTGGCGCTCGAGAAGAGCCGTAGAGCGACACGACGTTGTGGTGCAACCATTTCTTGGCACCGGGCTGTGATTGGTTGACTCGACGAGACTTGCAATTCCCAGAGTGACACCCGATCCAAACACTCCGCCGTCGACGACGACGACGTTTCTGCAAGGAAAAACACATCCACACTCGTTTACACTTTCGACTCTGGTGTCGCAATCGTCTTTCCTCCTATCTGGCGGCGCAACACGCGCATATACACCACACTAAGCAACACGATGTCGTCCCCATCGAATTCGCGCTTCGAGCGCAACCGCCTTCCCAACCTATGGGAGGTTCTGTCCCGTACGACCCGAGCCCCGGTCGACCTCTACAGTTTCTATATCTACATGCGAGACACTCAGCGAGCCGTCGACTACCTGGACTTCTGGCTGGATGTCTCTCAACACATGTCACTTTGCCGGCATTACGTCCGGGGCCTACGCCGCAGCGTTCTCGTCGACACTCCAGAAATGGGCAGTAAACGCTCCTCAGCCGTCCTCCGCGACGAGCAAGCAATGCAACAGTCGCAGTACCACAACGACTTCTTTCGCGACCGCGACGATTCGGTCGCCGGCCCCAGCACATACGAACGCAAGACCACCAACGATCAGAGGCTGAGCGCCTTCCTGCGAGAGAACGGCACGAGGCACAGTCCGACCAACAGTCGTGGCTCCAACCAGGAGTCGCCAAACGAGCACACGCCGGGGTCCGAAGCGCCGCCGAGACCAAGCTTCATGACGGGCAGCGCAAGCAACAGCCCAGCCAATGACAGCAGCCAAAGCCCTGGGACGAGCGTGGCGCGGGCGGACATCAGGGCATCGGCGGAGAAGATCTTGTACACTTACCTGCTTGCCGGGTCGGAGAGGGAAATTATTCTGCCTGTCGGGATATTGGACGACATCACCACCGCCATTGAGCGGGATGGTCGTGACGATCCGGAGGTATTCGATGCGGCGAAGGATTACGTCTTCCAAGCCATGGAGCGAGATGCTTTCCCTGGCTTTCTGCGACAGAAGGCGCTGGGCAACATTGTGCACCCCAGCATGCTGCTACGGCTGATCATTGGGTTGGTGACGCTTTTCGCTGCGCTGTGGACGGCGTTTATACTTATCTTTTTGGACTATTCAAGGAAGACGAGATGCTGGGTATGTGCCATTCCTCTCTTGCCATTACCAGAACAACAGTTGCTGACCGAAGTCTATAGCTCATCCTCCCTTTCACTGTCGGAATTTACTTCCTCGTCAGCCACCAGTACATGCTCGACCCCATTTTGGCGCTACTCGGCTTCTCAGAATATACCATCATGGACTTCCAGCGCGTCAAGGAGCCTTTTGTCCGCCGTCTACTGAACAAGCGCGCAGTCATGTGTCTCGGCGTCATCTTCCTTGTCACGGCAGCGCTGTGCTTGATCTTTATTCTGGTGCCTGGAAAGCGTCTATAAGCGTGGAAGCGGAGACTGGTGAGACTATTATCTGGCGCTGGTTCGTTCTATTGACAAATTCACCGATTTGGCCTCTTGGCACGCTAATATACTTATTCTGACTTTCTTTTGTTGATTGAACGCCCTTGACGGGCTTAATGATTTGTTCTTAGGTAGCAATAGCATGGCGTTGTAGGATAGGATATCGTCGTTGTATCAAACTCTTCGCACTCTACATCTCGATCGATCGTGACCAATAGAAACTGTGCATGCATTGCCATGTTAACAAATGGCAAGCTCACGGAGTTTCACGGCGAATGTGTTGAAAGAAGTCATATCTAAATGATCACCACAATACGGACGAGCAGATGTCCTCGGAATGTGACCGGGCAGAAAGTTGACCAGAACTAGAAATACAAGCGCTCGTCTATAATGAGCATGTGTCCGAAAGGTATATATACGCGAGCACTACCAGCCCGCTTCGATTAGTACCCGAGGTATCGCCACCAAGAACGCCACGCTGAGGCAACAAAGAGACAGAGAAAATTCATGCCGACCACCGTCATCCAACACTACAGCTCCGCGGGCGATGCAAAAGGCATCATGGCCGGCTTGCCTTTCTGACCTTCCTTGCCTTTTTCAGATGTGAGGATGCCGAAACGGAGGATGACTTCGGAACAAGTGACGAGGATTGAGAGAATGATGAGGACGATGATAATCCATGTGATTCCTGTTGCTGTCAGTCTCGTCTGTCGTGCGGAACTAATCGCAGATCACTCACTGGTCATCTTGGTGTCGGCAATGCTGTCCGAAAGGATCTCGGCCAGATCAAGGAAGACACGGCAGCGCTCATTGAGAACCTGTACGCGTGGCTTGATCTCAAGATATTCCCTGACGGCCTGGTACAATGGATGAAGCATGGGTTCCGAGTCCCAGAAGAAGTTCGGGGTGTCCAGCATGTTCGACGCTGTTGAAGATCAGTACAAACATGATAAAAACTTTGGCAACGATGCTCACATAAGTTGACATCCACTCTGCCTTCAAACAGCTTTCCGACAAGCGCCACTACTTCCGTCCTGCTCATTCCTAAGCGGCCCTCCAGCGCTAGCTTTCGAGGCACGTATTGTGCTTCGTTCATGGTGCGGGCCATTCTCTCTTCGAAGAAGCTGAGCTTGGTACTCTGGCCTATCGCATGACTCATGGCGAGTTTGATCATGTGATCGCTCGTCCGCAGCGTGATCATGTCGTTGAAGATTCTGGGTTTCTCGATGTCGTTGTTGTATTCAAAATGGAATTCTTCTGTCTCAAAATCATCCTCGCTGAGCGGCTTGGTGAGGAGAGGTGTCTTGGGCAAGCCTGTGTAAGCAACCTTGCGGAAGGCATCGTTCTGAGATGGCTGTGGACTATTCGAAGAGGAAAAGGTCAGATCGGCGAGAATGTCCTTTTCCTGATGCTCTGTGAAATTCCAGAATACAGCAACTCCATAGCTGTAGATGAAGAGTTCTGCGATCGAGGTGGCATCAGAAGCTATGGACGCTCTTGGCGACGGAAAGTCCAGAGAGCTTGTTGTGCTCTTTCTTCGCTCGTCTCTATCATCTATGGCGTCTTCTGTTGAATCTCGTCGGGTGTGCATGTCGTCTTGTTGGGAGTCTGGGTGTCCCTCAATTCCAATGACCGAGTATTCGTCGCTTTCATCTCTCCATCCTTCTCGATAGGCTCGGTTCTCGTTCGCTTCGATCTGCTCATCCAATATACTCTTTCCGCCAGGGTTTTTGAGGACGGGACTGCTCCGGATCCTAAATCCATCGCTTCCGCCTAGCAGTGGTAATTGGTAAACGCAGTACAGACAGTCATCGTAGAGTTTGGTTTTTGCGGCATGTTGGTCTCTGATGAATTCTGTTGTGGCTCGTAGCTTGAAGCTTTGTGCTGTGCAGTACGCCGTGACCCTAGCCAGTTTCTCCGCTCTTCTAGCTTTCGGTAATCTCTCGGCATAGCTCTTGTCGCCCAATCTGCCTTGCTTCCTACGCGCCAGCACCTCGTCTCTCGGAGGGGCCGAGTCATCATCGGTGCCCAGCTCAGAACGGTCATCCGGGGGGGACCCGGCAGTTTCTGGGAGTAAAACGAGCTTTTCGCTGACTTTGCTAGAACGGGTAGGTATGTGTGCCGACGCGACAGGAACGCTACGGCCAGATAATTTGGGATCGAGTGGGTGCTTGCCGCTAGGAGTCCGATAGTGCATCATAGGTCTGGCCCCAGGGGTGACTCGTCTTTGGCCGGAGGGGATTTCTGAGGCGTATTGGAGAACATTGTCAACGGATATTATTCGTGTATCTCTACGTGTCATTAGATTTGAAGGACGCTGAGGCTGTCGTCGTGGACCTTCGCGAGCATCTGTCACCTGCGTAGTGTCGTCAGTGAATAATGACTCGCAGTGAGTTGATGAGGCATATGTACCAGGACAGTTGGTCCTCTCTTCTTGCTCTGCGGTGCCGACATGTTCTGCTGTTGAGTCGCAATGACTACCCGGTCATGTTTAGGTATCGAGCATGCAGTAGGCCGCAACAAGGAGTGTCAAAATTGTAGTGGACAGTTTGCCGATGCCTCATCCAAACGATCGAGAGTACGTTTGCAACATGCGGGATGGAAGATGCTGCGGCTGCATGCGCCTTGACGTCACCCGATTGGCTGTCGGCCCTGCCCTGCGGGGACGACGGATTTATGAACGGAGGAATTGGTCGGCCACAAAGAAACACCTTGTACTGCTCGTCGAGACAATGATAAATGACCAAATTGTCAATTCTTCTCTTTCTGTTGACCCTGTAACAAGCCCTCTCAAGCCTTTGTGTACATATTGTACTTGTGATGCCCCAACACCTCCCCGTTTAAGCTTGGACAGGCATGCCAATTGATCCATTGAGCATACGGCTGATCGCATCGCTACTTTGCCGGTAGCAACGACATTATTGAATATGCCAGGATAGTGATCACTCGGACAGCATAAAGGGATACTGATCGCGACAGTCAAGCTGATTGATACAGGGAGAAAAATTAATTTATGGTATATATGTTATGCTATTTTGTATCAAAAACATATTCGTGTAGATTTCCTACGAAATACACGGCAGGATGGCCGAGTGGTTATGGCGTGTGACTCAAGCTTCTAGCTTCTCCGATGGTCTAACATCGAGGGTTTTCTCATGGGCTCTGCCCGCGGGGGTTCGAATCCCCCTCCTGTCATTTTTGCATTTTTTCCCTCGTACATCGACGGATCTTTTGTCGTTTTGATTGTACCCCTAGACTTCGTTCGATGGCACAATATATACAATATTCGCGTAAAAATAAACAATATGTTGCGCGCGTGTTGCCGCCAGTGGCGACCTGGATATTCTTTAACTGCACTAGTAGCTCTCTTTCAGCTTCTTTAGCACGGTGGCGAGCCTTCTCACTCCCTCTGCAAGCATATCCTTTTCTTCCCAGGCGAAGCATAATCGTACAAAGCCATCGTGCGATATTCGGTCTTCTGATGGCACTTCGCATTGACTACCAGCCATGATAATCAAATCCTCTTTCGCCTTGCACAATGCAGTCAGTTCGTCCCCACTCAGACCTTTAGGCAGAGCCAACCAGATGAAGTAACCACCCATATGCTTGTCAGGCACCGACATGGTGCACCCAAGTGGTACAGCATGCTCTTGTAGTGCGTCAGCCATCACCCGATACCTCGCAGCATACTCAGGTTGCAGAGTATTGAAGATATTGTCTTGTAGCCGACCCGAGGTCAAGAGCTCCGCGAGGAAAGTCGACACCAGCTGGGATGGACAGCCTCCGGATCTTGAGCTGCCCACCTGCGATACTCCAAATACGAGCTTTGGCGATCCTTCAGCCCATCCACAACGGCACCCTGGAGCTACGATCTTACTGAATGAACCATTACTCATGGCATTGCCAAAACCATCCGAACCTGGTCGATTGCAACCACCCTCAAGCTCTGCATCGACATCTACCAATCTTGGGACCAAGGCGGATGTGATGGGGTGGAAATTCTCCGCTATGTGTTCCGTACTCCATTGTAGATGGTCGTATACATCGTCTGTAATGATGAGCGCATCATATTTTCGTGCACAGCGGACAAGCGCTCTCCTCCGTTCAATAGGCATGATACTAGATGATGGATTGGAAAAAGTGGGTACGCAGTATATGATGTGTCGATAGTATTTTGAGTAAGACCGCTTGGGTTTCATGTTCTACAAGACGGGAATTATTCAATCAGCTCACCTCCGTATGACTTATGATGGCAAGGGACGCTGCTTACCTTTGCTGCTTTGGATTCCTTGCTGGCTTTCTGAAGCTCTCTCTCTAGCCAGTCGACGTCAATTCCGTCGTGGACCTCCGGCACAGCTCGCATTTTATCGGCGAAGCCATTGTCTTGAAACATGCGAAACACAAGCATATAAGCTGGTGAAGAGATCCAGACATTCTGAGTGTACAGAGGATCCGAGAACACCTGAAGAACGCAGGCTAGGTTCTGGCTAGCTCCACCAGATATCACAATATTGTCCTTTGAGACAGATCGGCCGTAGAATGACGAGTGCCAGTCAGCGATGGCTTGCCTGAACGGTCCGTATCCCTCGTCGGCGCCATACAGCAACCCAGGCGTGGAAATTGAAGTGTCCGAAAGCACAGTCTGAGCGGCATCACTGATGGCACGCGCCGGGAGTAGGCCCACACTGGGGTGACCCTTCAAGAGGTCGATGGTCCGGCGGGGGCTCTCGTGGGAAATCATGTTGAGGATGGCGACTGAAGGCAGGACGCGTGGTCGCCCAAGGACTGAATTGACTCTACGAAAGAGCGCGCGTTCATGTGTCAATAGAATTGCGTGATGCTGTACTAGTACGAGTATCCCGTACGGGTTGTCGCACGGCTCACGAAGTCACGTAGTACGAAATTTGGAATCTGCAGATCCGTCCCCGGAGCCGAAAAGCTGAGACTGACTGCATTTGCTTGCTGTTCGGGTCGCGTGCAATCACGCAGCAGATAACAGCTCCTCATGCCACGCAGCATTGAGACGAACGACTTGAAACGCCGAGATCAGGCAGGCATGCTTTGACACTTCACAACAGGTGTTACATTAGAAAACATGCCTCGAATCATGCGTCGTGGTTCCTGCTGGGTTTCATGCACAGCCGGCTAGGGCTGCTGTTTTTAACAACAAATGGGGACCACAGCCCCAATATTGGTTACACGGCTGGCAAACCAGCAGTAAATTTTGGCCGATCCCGGTCCCCCTGGGGCAAATCAGTGCTGCGCTAAGCCCCACTCGCTCGCTCTCCCGAACCAATCCGCCTTGTAAATTGACCCTCTTGCGATGACGTCGCCACCAGCTGACGACGTCTGCTGCTTTTCCTTTCGTTTTCCTTCGTCTCCGCCTGCAAGAACCCGCAACCCTTGTTCCCTGAATTGACGCTGATTGGAAACTGGCACATTGTGCATTGATCAAAACCCCGGAGCGGCAATCTGCCCCACCCAAATCTCAGGTGCCCATTGCCCTGAGATGCGCCTACAAAACAAGTATATCCCCGGACATGCCACGATGATCATCCATCGGGTCATGCGTCAATCCTCTTTTTTGCCTCTGTCCTGAACTTTCATTTCCTTTCGTCTCCACTTAGCATACATCGTCTGTCGACTTACCCTCTTTGCTGTGTCTGCGCCTCAATTGCTGAGTTGGCAATAACCTTGCACGGCCGCGCGGTATCCATCGTCCGTGTTGTCTCAATCCCAGGACTTCCATTCCACTCATTACTCACGGCCGGACTAAGCTCAATATAGTCTTTAGTCTGTCTCATCCCATGAGAATAGCCCAGCATGTCGTCGACAAATCTCCCTGCTGCTAGACTTCAGAAGGCAGCACCTGCGCCGCAGCTTGCGCCTACAGTCAACTACGAGCCGCACTATGAGAACTCTACGAGCCTGCCTATACGCAAGCCATTAGCTGGCCATGCAGACCCACGGACCTTCCCTCCTACTCTCGCGGCCGATCATGGTATATATTTACCAACTGCCCCACATGGTAGTAGGGACACCTTCAAGCGACACTCTTCCTACGACCGAGCACCGCATTGGGATGCTCATCATCAAGACACCACCTACACCCTCCACGGTGACACTGCAGGTCACCCTAACGGATCTCTCGTAGTTGGTAATGCCAGCTCAAAGCCAAACAAACTAAAGCCTAGTTCTTCTGCTGTCAATCTTGCGTCGTCAACGGCTGCACCATCCAAAGAGGAAAAGAAGAAGAAGGGTGGTCTATTTAGCAGGAACAAGGACAAGAAAGACATGGCTCGCTCTCCTGGCGCTTGGTTGGTGGCGTTTGATCAGCAGGAGAGGATTGCTTTTGATGTGGATAGTATGATGGCAGGTCAACCAGTCCACGAGCTTTGGGACGAGACTGGTGACTGCTACATCCACCTTTTTCCTCGGTCTACTGGCAAAGGTCCTTCTTTTCGTCTGAGCTCGTCAGTCTTTGCATCATCCGCTTCGCTCACCAAGATGGCATTTGGACGACTCTACAGTGATAATACACTGGCCGACCAAGAGCCGGGGAGAGATTTGTCTGGTCAATTCTCTATCAAATCGGATGGCTCACGCAGTACCCGACAATCTTTGGAGGAGGCATCCGGTGAAGTGCATCTCCATCTAGACCTACGACTCAACGGCAACCCAGCTCCTGTTCCGCCCAAGAAGAGCAAGAACACACCAATCTCGGAAGACGCTGAGACAATGATTGAGATGAGAAATCTCTTTGGGTTCCTTTGCGGCCAGGCCCTTGTAGCTACTGAGAAACGCTTCACTCTTTTTTCGATCTTCATGCGGATTGCCGAACATCTGCAACGTCATGAATTCTCGAACATGGATTCGTCTACTTTTGGTGAGGTCGCTTCCTCAAGCTTCGACAGCTACGTGAATGAGCTTCAATTGGCCGACGTCCGAAGATCATCGGAGAAGGCGGTTGAAATGCTGCTACTGGGCGAGCGGATGCGGTCTGTCGGTCTTTACAATGAAGCCTTCACTCATGCTGTCGGTAAGCTTGAGGATATCAAGAGAGTTGCTCCAACCACGTACAACGCTGTCTCTTCCGCCACCCAAACACGTCTGTCGCGCGCTGCAATGGATCTGGAGAAGCGCATCGCAAATGCATCGGCTACGTGTACGGATTTTGACATGCCTAGCATATTCTCAGGAATTATGAGCTCCAGGACGGTGGATGAGCGCCAGTATGTGAATTTTGACGCTTGGAAGTCTTCGTTCTTCACGACTCGTAAATTCATCGTGGGATACTACAAGGCACTCTTTGGGTCGTGGCCGCCGAAACCGAATCCAAAGAAGAATCAGCTCCAAAGCCCAGGGCTCAGTAGAATTGTATTACTCCAATTATACAATGATCTGAGTGCGGTTTACGACTTGATTGTCGACCACACGGCTCTGACGAACCGAACTGCAGATGGCGTCTCGATTGAAGAACGTAGTACAGACCCACCAAGGATACGGGCGTTGCGACACGTCCTTTCGGAATGGGATCGTTCCTCGCCACCAGTCAAACCGCCAATGCCTTTCGACATACCAAATTTACCTCGTAGCGGAGAGCCCAAAATCTCGAAGAAGTTTAAATCAGAAGACCTCGTGAAGGTATTGCAAGCTTCACATAACCCGACGTCAAGACCTACTTCTTTCGTTCAAGCTTTCCGGGAATTTGAACGATCGCAAGCCAAGGGCTGCACCATCGAAGAGATTGCAGACTTACGGTATGGTCAATGGATATTCATGTACGCCGTCCTTCAGGAACTCCCGTTGCTGGTAGTCGATGCCCCTAGCATTCGCTATACTGCGGGAGTAGAATACTTCCTTTGCGAGGCCAGCCGTGGCGGTGTTCCATGGGCTCGAGATGCTGCTTCGGCAGGTCGGTCTCACCAATGGTACGGTGTAGCCGGCGGTGCAGGCGTAGTATCGCTCCCTTCAGACGTAATCGAGAACAGCATAGAAGCTATCTATCGACGATCGCACTGCTGGATCATGGCACAGCAGTGGTCTGCAGAGAACCCGATCATGGCCGCCGCTGTGGAGGAGCAACAGCGAGCCGCAGCGACCGGTAGCCTCCCTCCACCACCTGAAATCATCGCCGACGACATGGCACCTGGTTTCCGCAGCCGCATCTCCAGCCCAGCGTTGAGCGACCGCAA